CCCCGACCTTTTTTTTTCTCCTTTACTAAGCAGACCTATTTTTTAAAATCCTTTGATTTTCCCAAAGAGTAGTATATGTAGGTTACTTAGAGACTTACAAACCTTTCAAGTAGTCAGATAAAATTGGAGCCCTTCCTTTTTTTTGGCCCGTCGATGAACCTCAATGGGATTTGTATAAAATCCCGATTTTTTTTCCAGTAGATCTCTCTGGATTGATTACAACAGCAAAGCTGTATTGATTCTGTATTTTTTTCTCCATCGGTCGAAAGTAACTTATCGTAAATGATGTGAAATACACAAGTTTATTTGTGTGGTTTGACATAGTTGATGTGAAAATATGCAGGCTTGTTTGCAATATTTTCTGCACGACTTATCGTAAATGCAATGATTTGAAAATGCAAATTTTTTTGCGTTTAGATTTGCGATACACATATCTATTGGCTACTGTTGGTTTGTAATGGAATCATATTTTACCTGGGTCCTGGGCACTCGAATATTTTTTCCCCCATATTATGTTTTTTAGGAAGGTTTCTTTTCAGAACCCATATTTTTGGTCATGGAGTGGTTGGCAGATGTGGACTCATTTAGAGTTGAGATATGATATCACATGTAAAAGTCAATTTGGTTTATTGTGGTACATATAAGTATTTTAGTTTTTGTCCTCCCCTTTCTTGACCCCTTTTTGTTTTGTTCTTTACTAAGGAGGTCTGTTATTAAGAATCTTTTGATTTTTTTCCCAAAGTATTTCTCTGGCACTTATATGACCTATTTGTGTTGCAAGTGTAAAACTTGTTCTAAAACTAAAATAAAAATATCTCTCAAGCACATGCAATGGATACCAACCACAGGTTATGAAACTGAGAAAAAATTGAAACAAGTTTCACAATTTTGGGCTTAGTGCATGGTCTGAGCAGCTGGTGGATGATAAGCTGTCAATCAAATAAAGCGGTTGGCTTGTTCTTGTGTGTTTTTCCTGTGTCAACGAGCGAATGGCATGGCCTGCTCTGCTTTTGCCTCGACTGCTCGCGCATGTTTGAGTGTAGCCTTTTAGCGTTATATCAGCTGGCTTGTCTACTGTCCAGAATTTTCTGGCCCCCCCCCCCCCCGGGCGGTGCCACTGACTGAAGTGTCTTTAGGTCATTCCCAAAGGGAGGGCGTTTCTCGTTCTAGTGCACAGTAGAATTGTAAATGGGCTTATCTAACAATGTAATGCTCATGACTGTGCCTGAACTACAACAGGGAACTGCTGCTTTTTCTTTCTTAATCCTTACTATTGTCATTTTCCTCTACTTCTTTTGTATATTTGTCACACACTTGTGACCCGCTATTTCCAGGGTGCCTTGATAGTTGAAGCAGACTTTGTGCTGTTGAAGCTAGAAAGGTGAGCAAAGTAAGTCTGATTCACTGTAAGGACTTTTCTGTTGACATCCACCCCTTGGCGCTCATATGACTTTATGCAGTTGCGAGCTCCGTAAAACCTCTACTAAAACTTAAAAAAAAAAGAATTTTCTGAGGCTGTCTCAGATTCAGCAATGGGGAATTTGAGAGTCTTATCACATATGCTATGTCAGAGCCAGTTCCAGTTCATGTTATTTTGTTCACTGTTACATAGTACCATGTTTGGTGGCCCCGATTCGGGTTTGAAAAAGTTAGCAAGCCAGAGTGAGACATTTTTTAGTAGGGCGTTTGGTGGGGCATTTGAGTGTTGTATATAAGTGAAGCATTTGAGTGTTGCATATGAGTGGAGCATCTGAATGAGGCAGTTTGGTGTTACGAGGTCCTTCCCAAAAGTGAGTTTCTCTGTTCGGTAAAATCTTCAGTTTTTATTTTACAGACATAAACTTTTCTATACATACCTACAGAAACATGTCTGTTCAGCATAACAACCATTGATCTCAATGGGTTTTTTCAATATACAATGGAATCAGCGGTCACTTGCAGTGATCATGTCTGTTTGAGCCAGAGTCCTTTGTGCAGCATTTGTTTGGAGGACAATGTCCTCCTCATCTTCAGATCGCCGCTCCCTTAGTCCTTCTTTGATTTTGGGGGGATGCATGCAGATGTGTGAGAGAGAGACAGACAGACAGACAGACAGCGAGAGAGACAAAGACAGAAAGCTCAACTGATGTCTGTGTACTACACATGTGTGATGTGTGTCGATATGGAGGGGGGGGGGGGGGGCTTAAAAACACCTACATTAAGATAAACCAAAACTCTCTTCATGATCAGTTACATGAATGCAAGTTTGGTGTTTATTTTAACTTTTTTGTGGGTTCTTTTTTTTTCTTTCTTTTAAATGTTTATTTTTTCGTCGCCCTTATATTTGCAGTATTCATAGAACAGTTTTAATTTGTCTTTGGCTTCCTATTTATTTGGTGAAGATATTATTTTTGTTATAATTAAAAATTTTTTTTCATAATACTAGTGAACACTGAGCGAGTTATTATTATTATTTTTTCTACATTGTTGTTGCTTAGTGGAGCAAGTTTGATGTACAAGTTTAGTGTTAAAATATTTCCCAGTTTATATCTTATTTTTTTCTTTTTAACGAAGAGCATATATGTGTTGGGGGGGGGGGGGGGGGTAAAAAGTTCCTTGGATGATAATCTAGGTACCAGCAGTCAGTCAATATGTATGTGCAGCTCTGATCTGCAGCATGCTATGCTTCTAATCTAAAGTAAAGCAGGATTGACTTACATTTTTCCTTGAGGTATCTGTACATGTTTTCTTTGGTCTCAACCTTTAAGCTCATAGTTTTACTCATGTCCGCTTGTTGCTTTTGTTTTGATGTAAGTGGTTTTTACACCCCCAATCAACACAATTTAGGTCAATTAGGAGGCAGGCTTCAGACCCTGCCTGTCGAGGTCAACCCAGGTAAACAAGGGTACAAGTATTTCCCTCCAAAAAGACAGAGGCTCTAAAAAAAAATTTCCCCCGCTCGGGAATCGAACATGGGTCTCCAGCATGTGATGGCGAAGCACGTAATTGTTATTATATCGCAGATGCCTGCTGGTTTGTCACAAGTTGTCAGACTGGTCCTGCGGTAGACCGTCAACTAAACTGGCACCGAAACTTTCGTGTTTTTGTTTAGATGGTTGTGTTCCCATCCAGGCTGTTACTTTATTATGTATTGTATTTATATATAGCTTTTAGTTTAGTTTAGTAAAGAGTTTTACGGCACTTGCAACACAATAAGGTCATATAAGTGCCGTATATAGCTTTTGTTGTGTTTAGTTCTGGTAAGAGTTTTAGGCCACTTGCAACATAAATAGGTCATATAAGAGCGGAAGATTCGAGGTGTTACAAGGGACAAACGTACAAAGAAAAGGAGGCTTAGAGATTAAAGCGATATGTGTTTGAGTTTGATAGGAAAGAAGGAGCAAACACACCAGAGCACCTGCCAACCCTGAAGCAACAGAAAAAGTAATGATAACTGATAACGATAATACAGTTCAACCTATTTTAACGAGCCACTTGTATAAGACAAAATGTCCTCTACAAGCGGCCCCTTCCTGTTTCCTGTTTCTGTGTTTTCTTTTCTTTTTTTTCTCTTTTTTTTTCTTCAGCCATTATAATGACACTGTGTAAGACGACCTCTTTTCTCCTCAGCAGTGGGTGGTGGTCTAACAGTCTAAGACAAGTTTGACGGTTCATCTTTTGTACTTAACATTACAGGCTTGGCCTATTTCCTCTAGTATCTTTACGGGTGGTTGAAGGGTGCCCTACTGTTTTACTTTCCCTCGCTTGTTTCTGTCTGTCCGTCTTACTTTTTCCTTACACTAAAAGACCATTTATTGTGTTTATGTGCTTCTTTATACTCGACAACCAAACCTCAGCAGTGGGGGGGTGGTCGAAGACAAGTTTGACTGGTCATCTTTTGTACTTAACATTACAGGCTTGGCGTTTTTCCTCTATTATCTTTACGGGTGGTTGAAGGGTGCCACTGGTAGGTCCTACTGCTTTACTTTCCCTCGCTCGTTTCTGTCTGTCGGTCTGACTTTTTCCTTACACTAAAAGACCATTTATTGTGTTGATGTGCTTTTTTATACTCAACAACCAAACTAAACTACAGTCTTTTTCCTGTTGGTGGGTGTTTGGCGGGTGTTCTGGTGGGGTTTTGCTCCCTCTGTCCTATCAAACATCTATAGTGGGTGCTTGGGGGGGGGCGGGTGTCACTGGTAGGTCCTGCTTCTTTTCTTACCCTCTGTTGTTTCTTTCTGTCTGTCTGTCTGTCTGTCTGACTGTCTGTCTGTCTGTCTGTCTGTCTGTCTGTCTGACTGTCTGTCTGTCTGTCTGTCTGTCTGTCTGTCTGTCTGTCTGTCTGTCTGACTGTCTTGTCTGTCTGACTGTCTGCCCTGCCTTTTTCCTGCACTATACACCCGTTGTCATGTCAATGTGTTTCTCTTTTACTCCAAAAAAATGTAATGTCCTTATCTTTCCTCCATTGTTCCTTTGTGTGTTGCCCTCTAGTAACACCTCTACTCTCCAGCGTGGGTGGTTGGCGGGTGCTCCGGTGTGGTTTGCTTCGTCTTTCCTACCAAATGTCTATCGTCCTTATCTCCCCACCTTCTTTTTTATGTTTGTTACTCTCTTGTTAACAGCTCTAATCTTCTGGTGCTCATATGACCTTATGCAGTTGTGAGCGCTGTAATACCTCTACTAAAACAAACTACTCTCCAGCACTTATATGACCTTATTGTGTTGCAAGTGCAGTGAAACGAAAACTACAACTAAATTTCTCCTATTGTGATGTTTTGCCACTAAATCTATAATATTATAATAAAATGCCTGTGTCCTTGACTTTGGTCTGCAGCGTCGGTGAAGTCTATCAAGTCGGACAAGGAGCAGCCGCTGGGCAGCGTGGGAGATTTCAGCGCCAACACCACGGGCCCCCCGCCGCTGAAGGGCCCGTCTCGACACATGGTCTACGCCACGCACTTCCCCATCCCTCAGGTACGTGGCCTGCCCCTGGCTCATTTTTTACCTTTTTTCCCCGCTTGCAGACGTGTCAAATATGCAAATTAGGCTCTCGGGCTCGCAACCGTAAGGTCATGGGTTCGAATCCCGTCAGGGGCCCGACGTTGTGTCCTTGGGAAAGGCACTTTGCACAAATTTTCCTCACTTCACCCAGGTGGAAATGGGTACCCGGCTATAGACAGTGAAAGATCTTCTCAGTTTGATAGTTTTTTAGCGCGTGAAATTCGCAGCTTACACTGTATGCTTCCCAGGAAGCTGAGAATGTTTCTGAGTGTTCTCAGAGGGTCTGCTGGGGGTAATAATAGTTGTATAGAGCATGCTCTTGAGCATGGATATGTGCTATATAAATGCAATTATTATTATTATTATGCTGTTAAATCGGAGCCCCCCCCCCTTTTTTTTGGTTTTGTTTTAGCTTACTTATTGAAGAATCCTGATTGGATTTGCTTTAAAATTTATTTATTTTTCCTTGAATTTTGTCCTCGGGTCCAATACCTCTATTTATTTGTCCATTTCCAGAGATTTGCCTCACAGTGGTAGCTTATGAATCCTGTTTTTCTTTCTTTCTGGAACGCATACATGCTCAAAATTGTTCTTGTTTTGCTTTTCTTCTTCAGTGTTTTGTATTTAGGACAAGAGAACGAGAACAGGTTTATCTGTGTACTTTTTTTTAGGATAAGCGAAACAAATTTGAGGTTTTCCAGTGATCTATTTTTAGAATAAGTGAGCCGAATTTGAGGGTTTTCAGAGGTTTTTTGAAGGGATAAGTGGACAACATTTAAAGTTTCCAGTTCGTTGTTTTGTTTTTTATAAGTGGACAGAATTTTAAGTGTGGGTGATTGGCAAGTGCTCTGATGTGGTTTGCTCCTTTTTTATCAAACGTCTATCGTCCTTATCTCTCCTCGTTCTTTCTTTGAACGTTACTCTCTAGTAACACCTCTAAACTTGGGCACTTGTGTGACCTAATTGTGCTACAAGTGCCATGAAACTCTTACTCAAACTAAACTATACCTCTAGTCTTCGGCACTTTACTAACCCGATTGTGTTGCAAGTCCTTTAATATGTTGACCAAAATTAAGGCAAAAAGCTTTGTTTGTTCCCCCCCCCCCCACCCCCCCCCCTCCCTCCATGACAGGACATTGAAGATGAAGACTTTGGCACGGTTTGCATCATTTTTTTCTGTTTCCATTTGCTCATTGTCCTGATACCCGCGGCCGTCCAGGGCTGGTCCATAGATTTGTTTTGTATTATCCTAGACTGACTGAGCACTCTGATGTTGATCTGGTTCTTTATGGAGTTCCCCATTCGAAAAAGTGTCCTGTGTGTGTATAGGTTTAACGCCCATGTCAACACTATTAGGATATTTAAGATTTGGGACCTCCGAAATGAAAGTCCATCTCCGATGAGACTGTGCTAAATGGGGTGAGAGTCTTGAAAACTCCTCAAGACAAACGGCTCTAGTTCATGAACGCCCTGTCTGGGATTCGAACCAGGGTTCTCCAGCTTGATAGGATTGAGCTGAATGGATTGCAAGTCTTGAAAATTGCACAAAATGGCTCGAGTTCATGAGTTCCCTGTTAAGGGTTCGAACCAGGGCTATCTGGCTTGATACCAGCTGAGCTGACAGAGCACCTGCACCACTTGTGTAACCAAGTGACGGGCAGAGAGGGAAAGGTTGCGCGTGCCACCAACTATATCGAAGCTGGGGGTGTTTTTTTCCCCCCCGTTATTTGCACATCTATGGTGTGCATCAGAGCGAAGAAGGCGGGTGGTTGGGGGGCACTACTGGTAGGTCCTATTTCTTTACTTTCACCCTGTTGTTTCTGTCTGTCTGTCTCTCTCTCTCACTTTTTCTCTCAGCACCAAATGACCATTAATTATTGTGTCAATGTGCTTCTCTTTACTCAAACAAACAAAAGAGCGAATGAGTTTTTATAAAAAACAAAGAGAGTGGCCAGCGACAGAGTGCCCAGTCTAGGATGTTATAACTCAAGTCTTTGTGCTGGATTGGATGCATTTGTTCGTAGTCTGCTAAACTTTATTTGTATGTACGTATGGCTGTGACGATACCAGTCGCAATTGTCTAAGATGGCCACCAAAGTGGCTGTCTTACACAGTGTCAGTGATAATAATAATTATAGCTTGTCTGTCAATGTCTGATGATGACCAGTATGATGACAGTATCAATGTGATGTAATAAATAAGCAAAAGGGAAAATGGGAAGTGGTTGTTTTTAAGAGAGATTTTCTTGTACAGGAAGCCATTGGAGCAGGTTTGACTGTAATTGTCACTGCTTGAAACAGTCATGCATAATAAGACACATGCTCACACATATACACACACACACACACACACACACACACACACACACACACACACACACACACAAATGGAAGGGAATCAAACTCGGTTCTCCTCCATATACCAGCAAAACACCTAAATGCTACATACACCACTGAAACCATGCAGATGAAGAAAAAGGACAAAACGAGACAAACTCTGGGGGAAAAAATAGACATTATCTGTTTTGTTAGCTGTGTCTTCAAGCAATCTGCCAAGTGCCATTTTAAGGCGGCCCCCAGACTCTTGACATACTTTATTTTTACTTTACTTTTCCAATTGAGTGGCCATCTTCGGCCTGTCGATATGTCAAAGAAAGACTCTTGATATGGAATATTTTCTTTCATCACTGCTGCCTTTATCACTCTGGATCGGGATATAGTCCACGAACAAACACTTTTCACCTGTCCCTATCCTGGGCTAGCCTCTTGATGTTATTTATTCCATTCCATGTCTTTCCACTTTTCTGTACATCAATCTCTGTGACTCTGCTCCAAGTTACACGTGGCCTTCCCCTTGATCTTTTACTCTGTGGATTCCAAACCAATACTTAACCTTGTTATACGGCTGCCTGACTTCCTGAGAATTTTCCATACTTTACTGCTTTGTCTGTTGGATACACTGATATTATGGCCTGCGTGGGTGGGTGGCTGGCGGGTGTTTGGGTGGGGTTTGCTCCTTTTTTCCTCCGAGACGTCTGTCGTCCTTACATTTCCTCCCTCTTTTCTTTATTATCCAGTAACACCTTTTTTCTTTGCGTTCATAATGACCTGATTGTGTTGCAAGTGCTGTAAAACTCTTACAGATACAAAAATTGTGGTCTGTAAGTGAGAGGTGCGGGCCAGAAAAATTATTCTGGCTTTCAAAGCCTTTGTTGTGTGTTTCTGTTGCATAGCTGCCAACTGTTGGAGGATGGGTTGGGGGGGGGGGAGGGAGGAGGAGGTATGATGTTACTTTGTCCAGTACCCACCAACTAGGCAGGGTCTGTATTAAGGTTTTGAAAAGTTGGCAGCTATGCTGTTGTGATAACATTCATGGTGGTGCACAATTGTGACTCAACACATTGCTGCCTGCCTACCCCAGTCTTACTAATATTTTTTGTTGGTTTTTTTTTTGTGTGTGTGGTGTGTTTGAATGTGTTTAACTCGTCCTCTCACCCATTTAGATCCTGCCTTTTTGGATTAACTCAAAGGTTATGTCAGACCAACTTTTAAAAAAGATTTATTTCAATTTCATAGTTGTTTAAAAATTTCTTTTTTTGTGTGTGTGTCTGTCTGTAAAGTAAAAGGAGATAAATGTTGAGTAAGACTCCGTTGTTTTTACACTGAACTCTCTTGACAATTGTAACAAAAATCACTCTGAACTTGTGAGTCTTTCTTAAAAATTTTTTTTAGATTTGTCATCTGAGATTCCCAAGAGGCAACATTGTATGAAAAAAGTAAAGGAAAAAAAGCTGAAATTGTAATAATAATGATAATATTTGATAGGTTCAGAGCACTTTCAAATACAATAGTAACACATATAAATAGTACGTTGTGTCGTAACAAAAATATCTGTTTATATATATCTCATAAATCTAAAGACACACATGACTTAAACTGACATTTGAATGAATAAATGGATTTGATCTCTCTTAAAACTACTGGGGAAAATATTCCAGATCTTGGGGGCCATGATATGCAAATGCCCTATCAGCCATTGTTGTAAGTTTCATCGATGGTAAAAGCAATTTTTATTCTTCTGTGACCTTAAGACGTAGGTGTTTCTATAACATGTTTTCTCTAATTTGTGCAACCTTATGTCTTTGAGAAAAACTCTTTACATGAATTTTCCTCGCTTCACCTTGGTGGGAATGGTTACATGGCTATAGACGAGGAAAGATTTGGCAATTTGCTAGTGTTTTTTAGCGTTTGTAATCTGCAGCTTGCACTTAATGCTTTCCGGGAAGCGGAGAATATTTTTGAGTGTTTTAGGCTGCGCTGGGGTAACGATAATTATAACATGCGTAGAGCATACTGTAGGGCGTTGATATGTGCTTGTATGGCCCATTTATGTTGCAGGTGCCTTAAAACTCTGACTAAAACAACACTTCTCATCTTTGTATGTTACTCTCCAGTAGTAACATCTTAAATCTTCAGTGCTTACTTATATATATGCCCTAATAGTGTTGCAAGTGCTGTAAAACCTTTGCTAAAATTATATCTCTCATCTTTTTACGCTACTCTCTTGTAGTAACATCTCAAATCACCAGCCCTATACAACCTATTTGTGTTGCAAGTGCGGTAAAACTTATTAAAACTATACTTCTCATCTTTACTTATTAAAACTATACTTTTCATCTTTACTTATTAAAACTATACTTTTCATCTTTACTTATTAAAACTATACTTTTCATCTTTACTTATTAAAAACTATACTTTTCATCTTTGTATGTTATCCTCTAGTAGTTACACCTCAAATCTTCAACACCCTAATTGTGACCCTAATTGTGTTGTAAGTGCTGTAAAACGCTCCCTACACCTCAACTGTTGTTTCTCCAGGATGACTGCTCCAGCCACGAGATCAACCAGCGGATGATCGTCCTGTACGGGGTGGGCAAGGCCAGGGACGAGGCCAGGCACCTGTTCAAGAAGATCTCCAAGGAAATTGTCCGCTTGTTCAGCAAGAGGAACTGTGTGGATGTGACCAGCGGGGATCTGGGCAAGGTAGGGGGGGAGATAAGTTAAGATAAGATAATGTATTGATCTCCACACAAAGAGAAATTTGTATGGTAAATGTGTACTCTCACACTGCACATGCACTTGTGAAAACACACACACATGCACGCACGCACACACACACACACACACACACACACCTTAAAGATTCTTGAGTTCCCTAGCAATGTTTAAACAGCAGTTAAAATACATTGTTTGGCTGAGGTATATTTTTAGTTTTCTTATCATCTTGATCAATGCAACATTGTAAAACTGTATAGAGAAGGAGTGGAAAGAGGGAAGGGGTGACAGGATCACTATTGGAACTATGTTCTTTGTTTTACTGTAAAGGACATTGAGGACAATCACAAAAGACAGTGAAAATAAAATAGAAGCAACAGAAATGTGGTTTCTTTGGAGACTGCTAAGAGTATCGTGGAAGGAAAAGAAATCGAATGAGGTAGTGCTTGGTGAAGCCCACGTGGGACGCTCAATGTTAAAAACAATCAGGAAACGACAAATGCAGTTTTTGGGACACCTGGATAGACATAAGGGTCTTGAACATCTAGCTCTCACTGGCAAAAGTGAGGGCAAGCGAGGCAGGAGTAGGCCCAGAACAACATACTTAGGGAACCTAAACAAATGGGTAACAGGGAAAGATCAGGGAAACGTAGCTTTTTTGAGAGCATCCAAGCAAAGGAATGAATGGAAAACCATGATCGGTGATATGTGTCACAGATCTGGCACTGGATGATGATGTTGAAAAGACATTGAGCACTTTCTTAGAGGAAATTCTCAATACAAATGTCATTAAAATTGATAATTATAGTATAGATTGTACCTGGCACATAGATCTTGCAGTTGAGTAGGAATTTGTGCTTCTAGAAATGCTGATTTTCATTTTCCAAAATTGTTTTTGTTCATCTTTCTTCACTGGCATCTGAAGTATAGCCGTTAAGGAGGGGGGCTCTCGTAGCCTAGAGGTTAAGGTGTTGGCCTCTCATTCAAAGGTCCCGGGTTCGAATCCGGGTAGCGGCCGAAAAATGTTCTTCTCTAAAATCGTCTCCTTTCACCTTCTCTCCTGCTGTCTTTCTGCCACACCCCTGATCTTCTGGTAGGAAAGATCTACACCTAGCCTTCTCAGACAAGGGCGAAAAAATCTCGAAGGGCCCGTCTGTAAGTTACACACGTTAAAGATCCCTTGGTGGTCTAAAATCGATAAGAGTAGGCTTCGGCCGCCACCCGGGCAAATTTCCAAATTTCCTACCAACTGAAAATATTAGGTGTGTCCCGCGCGCTCATATGACCTCATGCAGTTGCGAGCGCTGTAAAACACTTTACAAAAACAAAAAAAAACAACAAAAAGCAGTTAAGGGCTTTGCAGTCACACACTGGAGACTTGACTTCGATTCCTGAGCAAGGAACCATTTTTTATCAAGGTTCTCTGTCTTTCTGCTGGGATGTTGTGTCCATCTCAGCTCGGGTTGAAAGCATGCCTTCTAAATTATCTAAATTGTGCCAATAGGGATGTAAAAAAAACACTTCTTATCATCAAGTGCCAGATCTGTGACAGATATTGGCTATCATGGTGGTGTTCCTTTGCTGAAATGCTTTGAAAAAAGCTGTAATTATCCTGGTCTTTCCCCATCATCCATCTGTTTAGGCTGTCCAGATGAGTTGCTCAGGGTCTACCCCTACTTCTTTTGCCTTCAGTTTTGCCAGCTAGATGTTCAAGGCCCTTATGTCTATTTATGTGTTATACGAGGTGCCCACTACGGCTGGATCGTGCCAGTCACCCGACTCGGTTGCCTGGAACTGAGAACAACCACGTTTGTTTTTGAGGTGGCCAAGTCAGACGATCATGCATCAATAGTGAGCACCCCGTATTACATTGAAAACAAAACAAAAATTAAAAATTTATAAATAAATCAATCTCTTTCTTTTGACTTTGTTCTGTGTAACACGGGGCTTATAATGTCTCAATATCTAACCACAACCTGTTCCAATCAGGTCAAGAAGAAGAAAGAGAAAGAGACGAAGGAAGGGGAGACAAGCACCGCCACCCCATCCACCTCCAACCCGTCGACGATGACCACGCCCAACTTTGACAGCATGCAGCAGAAGTTTGCCAAGTTGTCCTACTTCGACCAACACCAGGTGACGGCTCAGTGCACGGCGGCCGTCCTAGACCAGATCAAGAGCTTCACGGCGGGGAACTTCACCTACCTCCCGCTGGGCGACAACATCTCTTTCCTCTTTGACCTAATGCAGCAGGCGCTCAATATCAGCGGCCTCCTCGAGTTTATTATACGGGTACGTCTGTTGCACACACACACACACACACCCACATATTTTTTATACACACTAACTCACGTACACCACAGGTATACACCACAGATGCTCTATATCAGCGGCCTCCTCGAGTTTATTATTCGGGTACGTCTTTTGGGGAAACGCACACACACATAGAGACATAGTCACTCATATGCTCACACAGACACAGTCACTCACAAACATACATATGTAACATACCACAGGCACTCAATATCAGCGGCCTCCTCGAGTTTATTATACGGGTACGTCTGTTGGGGGAATGCACACAAACACACACACCCACATACATATATACACACTAACTCACATACACACACAGGTATACACCACAGATGCTCTTATCAGCGGCCTGCTCGAGTTTATTGTACGGGTAAGTCAGTTTGGGAAACATACACACAGTACTTATACAGACAGACTCAGTCACACACATACACAGTCATTTGCATACACATGTACACACCACAGGCACTCAATATCCGTGGCCTGCTTGAGTTTCTCATATGGGTATGTCTGTTTGGGGAAACACATAGGAATAGAGAATAGAGACACGTTCACACTCACACACACACTCACACACACACTCATGCACACACCACGGGCACTCAATGTAAGCAGTTTATCGTAGGGGTATGTTATCACACACATGATAATTAATAAGCACATCCTGATAGAATGTCCAGACTTCGGAAAGACTTTATGGAAATCTCTTTATGCATTATTTAAGAAAAAAACCACCATTATTATCATTATTATTACTTTCTTATTCAAAATTGTTATGCTGCGAGTGACATTAGGACGTTTTTGCCTCTTGTTCTTGTGTGTACTCAGCTGCTGAAAGACCTGGTGGAAGTGGAGAAGGAGCTGCACCAGAAGGAGTCGTTCCTCATGATGACCTACACCACCGAGGTCTGCCTCAACATTGTGGCCGTGCTGAGGCGCTACCACTCCTACCTGCTCAGCCCGCAGGGACTCAGCTCTGAGCTCTTTATCGGGTAGGCCTGGTTATTTTGTGACTCTCTGTTGTTGTTTCAATCTGTTTGTTCGGTAGGCAGGTAGGTAGGTCGAATTGTTTTATCCTGTTAGGTTTTTTTTTGTTAGATAAGCCTGGTTATTTCTATTTGACTCTGCTTATTGGGATAGTTTATTGGGGAGGCCTAGCTGTTTGACTCTAAAGTTATTTGACTCTTTATTGGGGTAGTTGTTTTACTCTGTTTATTAGGTAGGCAGTCCTGGTCATTTTTTTCTGTTAGGCTTAGTTATTTGACTCTATTTATTTTTCTCTGTCTATTGGGGTAATTATTTTTTTCTGTTTGTCAGGTAAATTATTTTACTCTTTGTTTATTGGGTAGGCAGGCCTGAATTATTTTGCTCTGTTTTTGGGGTATTTATTTTACTCTGTTTATTGGGTATTTATTTTGCTCTGTTTATTGAGGTCTTTATTTTACTCTGTTGAGTTCTTTATATTACTCTGTTGGACAGGCCTATTCATTTTACACTAATTTTTCGGAGTAGTAACTCTACTCGTGAAGAATACCGGAGTTATATTCTAACGTATAACAAACTTGACAATCTTTCACCAACACTTTTCCTCAGCCTAACCGACATCCTGAAGGTGGTGAACGTGTGCAACCCCATCAACTGCTCCACCGCCGAGCGCTGCGTGCTGACCTACCTGTACGACATCTACACGACCTGTTCTCCACTGCAGGTGTGCTTTCATCTCGGGGAGTGGGCAGTTGGCGGGTGCTGTGGTGTGGTTTGCTCCTTCTGTTTCCCATCGTACATCTTGCGTTCTTATCTCAACTCTTTCTGTTTTTTTTGTGTTTGTTTCTCTCTTGAAACAGGGGCTCTCGTGGCCTAGAGGTTAAGGTGTTGGCCTCTCATTCAAAGGTCCCGGGTTCGAATCCGGGTAGCGACCGAAAATTTTTCTTCTCTAAAATTGTCTCCTTTCACCTCCTTTCCTGCTCTCTAGCAATGTTCTGTTGTCTGCTTTCATTTCCACTTTCTGCCCCCACCCCCACACCTCCTTTTCCCCCTCCTCTGGGCTCCTGACTCTTTCTGCAGCCTTTCTACTGCTACTTCTTGGCTCTTCCTAACTGCTGTCTTTCTGCCACACCCCCTGATCTTCTGGTAGGAAAGATCTACACCTAGCCTTCTCGGACAAGAGCGAAAAATCTCGGAGGGCCCCTGTGCAAGTTGCGCACGTTAAAGATCCCTTGGTGGTCTAAAATCGATAAGAGTAGGCTTCGGCCGCCACCCGGGCAAAATTCGAAATTTCCTACCAACTGAAAATATTAGGTGTGTCCCGCGCGCTCATATGACCTTATGCAGTTGCGAGCGCCGTAAAACACTTTACAAAAACAAACATAATCTTCGGCACTCATATGACCTTACTGTATTGCAAGTACCATAAGACTCTATATATACCAGGTAACTAATAAAAATTATGCCTTTTATCATCAAAAACGCTCATGCGCAATGCAAAAAACTTTGAATTTGATCTCCTCATTTCTGAAACCTTTTTGTTTTTACAATTAATTTTTTTTTCTCTCACCAGATGCGGCATTCAGAAATCTTCAACCCAGCCTACACAAAGATGAAGGCCACACTGTTCGCACAAATCAATCCATCCTGTACCAACGCCAAGTGGGACCAGAACGAAATGAAAGACATCATCACTAGTGCCAAGTAGGTGTCGCTTTGTGGTGTCATCTCGTGCGTGTGGTGTGGCCCTTTGCGTCAGTGACAGATCATTTTTTGGAATATGTATTATCTGCTTTTTTTCAAAGCGTCTTAAAAAAGGTCGGAAGAAGAAAATGGGTTAAAGTCAGCGGGTGGTTGCAGGTGCTCTGGTATGGACAGCTTCTGAGTCTTTCCTATCAAACATCTGACATTCTTGTCTCTCCTTCCATTTTTTGTTTGTTTGTTTCTTTCTTTGATTGTGTTTGTTACTCTCATGTAACTCCTAATCTTTGGGATTTAAGTTTTTATAAAATTTTGATTTGTTTTTCTCTGTCACAGTTGAATGTCCTCAGTTATGGTGTTGGTTCTCTAGTGTTACACTACCAGACTCGTAATTGTGAGAGTGTGGGTTTGGAGGTTCGAGCCTCGCCTTGGTCCGTGGATGTTTCCTTGGGAAAGGCATTTTGTACAAACCTTCTCTCATTTTGGTATGATCCTGTGGGAGATGGAGTTTTGGGAACTGCTGCTTTTTCTTTCTTCATCCTTACTTTCGTCATTTTCCTCTACTTCTTTTGTATGTTTTGTCTCTCTTTTGTGGACTGCTATTTCCGGGGTACCTTGATAGTGGAAGCAGACTTTGTGCTGTTTAGGCTAGAGAGGTGAACAGAGTATTCCTGATTCTCTGTTTAGACTTCTCTGTTGACATCCATCCCTTGGCGCTCATATGACTTTATTCAGTTGCGAGCGCCGTAAAGCCTTACTAAAACAAAACAGAAGATGGAATTCTGATTCGGAGGTACCACCTCTTTAAAAATCTTACATTGTTGCAAGGGAAGTTAAACTTGTGCAGTTCCGCATTGTCTCCTTTTTCTGTATGTCTCGCAGGCTTGCCAACCTTCCTGAATTTTTCAGGAAATTCCAGAATTGACATCGTCGTGCAATGTCTCCCCCCCCCCAAAAAAATTTTTTTTCTTAGAAAAGTCATAGAAATGCTGAGGACGAAGAAATATGTGTAGTAGCTGTACTGTTACATTCTCATCTCTCTCTCTCTGCTTCTCCACTGGTTTGTTTGAGCTGTTTTTGTGGTATGGTTGGGTTTTTTTAGTAGCCTATCACAGAAGTGTGTGTCCGTGGCGCTCAGGAGCAATCAAAATTCCAGAATTCAGGATCTCAAAAGTTGGCAAGCCTGGTCTCGGTTTTACAGTACTTATGTCTTTCCAGCACACCGGCGTCTATGGTGCAGTCGTTAGGCTCTTTGCCGTCACACGCAGAAGACACGTGTTCAGTTCTCAAGTTGGGAGAATTTGTTATTGTGTATCTCGGTTTTTCTGGTGGGTTGTTGTTGTATCCCTCTTAGCCCTGGTTAGCCCTGGCTGTAGGGTTGAAGCAGAAGCAGCCCATATCCAAAAGTGGGTGGTTGCAGGGTGCTCTGGTGTGGTTTGCTCCTTTTTTCCTATCAAACATCTATTGTCCTTATCTCCCCTCCTTCTTTTTTGTGTTTGTTACTCTCTTGTAACACCTCTAATCTGAATCTTCTGGCGTTCGTATGAATTTATGCAGTTGCGAGTGCTGTAAAACTCTTACTAAAACTAAAAAACTATACCATATCCAAAATAATCTAAATTATGTCGATGGGGGTGTAAAATTTCTTCATTTACATTTGTTTTTTTCCTTCTTTCCAACACAGATTACCGGAAGAAGCCAACCGTGTTCACAAGAGCCTGGGCGACTCTGCGACCACGAGGTACAGCTTTGTCTGTAACGCCATGCTTGAAGTGGTCTCCACCCAGCCAGACAAGTACGTGTTTCGACTGATGTGTTTGCTGTCGAAAACTGTCTAAAGATGGCCACCCGTTTTAGAGGAGAAAAGTAGTTGTTTAAGATAGGTGGCCATCTCTCTCTCGCTCTGTCTTTGTCTATCTCTGTCTCTGTCTCTCTCTCTCTGGCTCTCTCTTGGTTTAGAAATGGCCAGTGCTCACCCACTGCATGGATAGAGTGGGGTTTTTTTTGCGGGGGAGGGGGGGTGGTTTTTAAAAAATGACAGTTATGTTCTGTATGTTAGTTTTTGTCAGTTACAGTCAAACCTGTGTAAGACGGCCACCCATTGTCAAGGAGAAAAGTGGCCGTATAAGACAGGTGGCTGTCTTAGGCAGGGCTGATCAAGATAAAGAAAACAAACCATTCCCATCTGAGGTCTCAATCAAAAGTAGCCGCATTGTTGTTGTTTTTGTTGTTGTTGGTTTGTATCTTGTTTGTAATTTTTATTTTGTTGCTGATTTTGCACAAGGGTGACAATAAAATGAAATGTATATAACGAGGAAAACCGAGTGCCATGTTAAAACAAACACATGGGTTGCCACCACTCGAAGAACGAGCGATGCTTCTGTCACAAGTTCATGTTGACGCCCATTGTTACTTTGTTACAGACTGGGTAAACAGTGACCACTCATCTCACTTACGATTTGTGTATGAGTTCTGGGCGGGGCTTATGGGTTATGAGGGATCACACGCTAACCTCACCAGCAGCTGAAATTTGGTAGCTAGACTATAGGTCAACAGTGGGAGGGGCCTACGCAATATGATCGGTTGGAGGGACTACCTAACAACAACGACAGGTGATTGAATTATGACGGCTAGCCCACAACGCCAGGGGCCAATGCACAATTTAAGACAAAATGTAATGGAGTCATGACTAAGGTTGCCGTCTAAAACAGGTGTTTTTGCTTTGTGTGATAGGGGTTGTGTGTTAAAATATGGTGGCCATGGCCGCGTTGGACAGGTGCCCGTTTTACACAGCTAAATTATATAGAAAAAACGCAAGGGGGGAAATGGAAAGTGGCCGTTTGTACAGGTGGTCGTCTTATAGAGGTGGCCGTCAGGCCAGGTTTGACTGTATTTACCTTATATTCCACAGCAAGATGACCTATTATGTCATTGTGCACCTAAGTATTGTGACCTTTTAAAAAGGATAATTTGGTGAAAATGTTTATATGCATTTTATCCTTCTTTCTCTTTGTGTGAGGTTTCTCTTTTTTAAATAATATTTGAGCCAACTTAGAAGGATAGTGAGTATATTGGTGTGCTTCTCTTTACTCAAACAAAATAAATCAAAAGAGGTTATAGAAATGTTTTTAAAACATATTGTCCCATCTCTTTCCCCGACCCCCACGCACCCCCCTCTCCCACTCCTACCCACCAACAAACCCTCGCCGCCACCTTTCCCCACCCACCACTCCTCTCACCAGTCTACGCAACATCAACGACCTGGCCGTGCTGTGTGCTGAGCTGACGGCTCACTGTAACTCCCTCAGCGAGGAGTGGCTAGGCGTGCTCAAAGCCTTGTGCTGTTCCTCACAGCAGGACCTGGGATTTATCGATGTCCTCACCACCATAGATGTGAGTCTGTCTGTCTGTCTGTCTGTTCCTCTCACAAGGAGGAGTGGCTAGGGGTGCTCAAAGCCTTGTGCTGTTCCTCACAAAAGGATCTTGGATTTATCTATGTCATTACCACCATAGATGTGAGTTTGTCTGTCTGTCTGTCTGTCTGTTTGTCTGTCTGTCCTGTCTGTCTGTCTGTCTGTCTCTGTCTGTCTGTCTGTCTGTCTGTCTGTCTGTCTGTCTGTCTGTCTGTCTGTCTGTCTCTGCCTCTCTCAGCGAGGAGTGACTGGGCGTGCTCAAAGCTCAGATCTGTTCCTCACAAAATGTTCTTGGATTTATCTATGTCCTTACCACCATAGATGTGAGTTTGTCTGTTTGTCTTTTTGTCTGTCTGTCTGTCTGTCTGTCTGTCTGTCTGTTACTTTTACAGGGAGGAGTTGCTAGGGGTGCCCAAAGCCTTGTGCTGTTCTTCACAGCAGGGCCTGGGATTTATCTATGTCCTTACCACCATAGATGTGAGTTTTTGTTTGTCTGTCTGTTTGATTGTCTGTCTGTCTGTCTGTCTGTCTGTCTGTCTGTCTGTCTGTCTGTCTGTCTGTCTGTCTCAGCGAGGAGTGGCTGAGCGTGCTCAAAGCTCTGTGCTATCCAACAGGATCTTGGATTTATCGATGTCCTCTCCACTATAGATGTGGGTCTGCCTGTCAGCCCCTCTCTCTCTTTCCCCCCCCCCCTCTCTCTCTCTCTGTCTCTCTCTGTCTCTCTGTCTCTCTGTCTGTCTCTCTCTCTCTCTCTCTCTCTCTCTCTCTCTCTCTCTCTCTCTCTCTCTCTCTCTCTCTCTCTCTCTCTCTCTCTCTCTCTCTCTCTCTCTCTCAAGCATCAAGCTTCCTTATGTCTCTCCTTTCTATTCTTTGTATGTTACTCTCTAGAAACACCACCTCTATGCTTGGGTCTTTTATTTTCATTAAAAATGTTATTTATCGCTTCTATTTTTTTTCCGAATGATTTCATGTATTTATTTGTTTCTTTTCTTCCCCTCGTGCCAGGTGGGCGATCTGTCCATCCACGACTCGCTGGCGGTGTTCACAGCCATGTTGATCGCCAGGCACTGCTTCTCCCTGCAGGACTTTGTCTACCACGTGGCCCTACCCTCGCTCATGGCCGTCTGCTGCCCAGGTCTGCTCTCCTTCCTCTTGGGTCGATAGTGTCATCGGTGGCTAGTGGTATTGGTGACTAGTGGTATTGGTGGCTTGTGTTATTAAAAGAAAGGATTAAATACAAAACTGCCGTTCTCTGTTTTAAATGTATAAATGATAGTGCACCTTTTTATCTTAAAACATTCCTGGAATTATATAATCCACCTAGAGCCCTTAGATCAGCCTCTGACAATCTAATTCTTAAAACTCCAAAACAAAACTACAAAACATACGGCGAGCGTTCCTTTTTGTTCTTTGGTCCCCAGGTATGGAACGAAATCCCATATAAAATAAGATCTGCCCCAACAATTTCCATTTTCAAAAATCAGCTGAAGCATTTTTTATTCACAAAAGCATACCTGTCATAATGATGTACTGTGATATATATGCATGTGTATGCCGGACTGTGAGACTGAAGAAATAGCGAGTGAGAATGAGAGAGAGAAAAAGAGAGAGATAGAGAAAAGAGAGAGATAGCGAGAGAGGGAGAGAGATAGAGGGAGAGAGAGAGAGAGATAGAACGGAAATGTTTTTCTATCTGTATAGAATTAATGTTTTAATGAATGTTTCCAGTTACTCACGTTTCAACTGTATTTTGACTGTTCGTGAATTTATATTGCATTGTATTTTTAGTGAACACATTTTCAACCTCACTGCGAGACTGTTTTTCTGGTATAAAATTTTACACATATGCATTTATATTATATGTATAATACTTTGTTTTACGTACACATTTGTGTCGATTAATTTTTAATATGTGATGTCTTTTTCATTGTAATGCGCATTGAGCATCTTTTAGGAAATGGAAATGCGCAGTATAAATGCTATTTATTATTATTATTATTATTATTATTATTGGTGGCTTGTAGTGGTCTTCAGTATTGGTGACTAGTATTTTTGACTTTTGTTGGCGACTTGTGTTGGTGGTTAGTACTCTTGGGTGGATAGTGTTATTGGTGACTAGTGTTATTGGTGACTTGTAGTGGTCATTAGTGTTGGTAATCAGTATCGGTGACTAGTATTTTTGACTTTTGTCAAAGATAGTACAAGACAAGATGGGCCACTTCTCTCTTTGAGCCAATTAAAAAAGTGTCCTCAAAATTTGGTGGCGCCCTCTTCACAAAAGCGCACTCTTTGCGAACAGAGTTACCCTACTTGAGTTTTTAAAAATCAAAGTGAAACTAGCAAGTTTTGGGATAAATTTCGGTAGAACGCTTTTAAAAAAATGGTTACGCTGACAAAAAACCTCTTCCGGAGGAAAAGGAGATGGTTTTCTTCGTTTAATTTGACTTTAGAATGAAGGGCGAGAGGACATTAAAATAAAAAAACCCCCTAAAACTCCGCACTGAACGTACCCGAACTGCTGATGAACAGCAGTCGATCTGCGCACGCAAGGAGGTGCTATTCCTATTCTTCTTCTGGAAAAACGAAAGAGAGCTTCAAAACAGACTGCAGCGCCATCTGAAGCAAAGAGCATACTTCCTGCGGACACTTTTTAGGCTGAGTGGCCCATCTTGTCTTGTACTATCTTTGCTTTTGTTGGCGACTTGTGTTGGTGGTTAGTATTGGTATGTAGTATTAGGGACAAGTATTGGTATTTAGTTTTAGTAACTAATACTAGTATTGGTGTATAGTATTTGTGACTAGTTTTGGTATCTAGTATTGTTAACTGATATTGGTATCTAGTATTGGTAACTGATATTGGTACCTAGTATTGTTAAGTGCTATTGGTATCTAGTATTGGTGACTAGTATTGGTACCTAGTATTGTTAACTGATATTGGTATCTAGTATTGGTGACTAGTATTGGTACCTAGTATTGTTAAGTGCTATTGGTATCTAGTATTGGTGACTAGTATTGGTACCTAGTATTGTTAACTGATATTTGGTATCTGATATTGGTAACTTGTATTGGTAACTTGTATCTTATTAAAACTTGACTTTCCCTCTAATCTTCGGCACTTCTAATGGACCTATTTGTGTTGCAAGTGCTGTAAAACTCTTACACCTACTCAAACTAAACTAAATCCGTCTTATTTTTCTGTACAACAGAGGGAGATGCGGAGGCGGAGCCTGGCGCCCGTCTGTCCTGTCACCTCCTGCTGCGGCTGTTCAAGCCGTCATACCTCATCGCGGCGCAGTCGGGCCTGTCTGGCGTGAAGAACCCTCCGCTGATCAGGAACTCGTGCGACCGGCATTTGCTGGAGGCGGCTCATCTGTTCATTGGGGTGGGGCCCATGCTGGCCGTACTGAAGGCTATGCTCAAGTTAGGTGAGGAGAGAATGACTGGGGCAGAGATGCCAACCAGTACGATTTTACGTATTTTAGTACGATTTTTGGCCGAAAATACGCGAATACGACTTTTCATGAAAAAATACGCATCCTGGAATGCGAAAAATACGAGATTCAGCTTGGGCGGGTAAACCTAATTATCTCAAGTCCCTTCTTTTGTCAAAATAGTATCAGTATCGCAGAACTGGAGTATTTGAAAACCAAGTCCGATGTGGTCAGTAAGTTAAATTTTGCCGGTCGCGATCGTATATTCGTTCAGCTTTTCCCCGTCTGGAGAGTACGTTTCACTTTCACGCGAATAGGCAGCTTTGGCGGCAGGCGGAAGCGTATGTGACACCGAGGCTCGATCGGGAAAATCAAGATCTACTTTCGCTTTCGTTACCACCGAGAAGTTTGCCAGCAGTTGTCTGATAACTTGCCCTACCACAGTTGTTACAACTCTCACGGTGCATGGGTCTACTTGGGCCATTCAAGTTATTGCTTTTCTCTGAGTTTGAGCAATAATTTGAGTCTGTCAGTTCATAACATGAATCATGACACCCAGACTCGTTCTTTATAGTCGAAGTTCTTGTTCTAGGCCCTTCCGAACTCTCAAAGCAGGATTTATTTTTTATATAATAATGAGAGGAAAATAGACTGAAATACTTACGTCAAACAAGACCCCAGTACGGCATTGAACACTGACATGTTGTTGAATGGATACATCGTATCTGCCAACCCTACAGAAAAAATCGGTAGGTCACCGACTTTTTGGTCAAACTACCGATCCACCAATTTTGAGAGATAAGCCACCGACTTCGTGATTCCGCAGGGTGACTGCCAGGCCCCGGGAATTGCCCAGGAATTTGAGAAAGTTATCGAATATTTGAAAACCAAACCCGATAAGTTATCGCCCTTAAGTTCATTTTTGCCGGTCGCGATTGTGATATTCATTCGGCTCCCTCGAGAGTATGTTTCTTCACGCAGGCAGGCGGCTATGGTGGCAAGCGGGTGTGATACCGACGTTTGATCGGGATAATCAAGATACTTTCACTTTCGTTACCACCGAGAAATTTGCTGGCAGTAGTATGATAACTCAACATTAATTGTAACAACATGCAGGCAGTGCATGGCGAACGCTATGTCGCCATGAAAGTAAATCAATATTTGTCCTGTGCTGTCACTTGTGAAAAAAAAAGAGCAGAACAGAAAGTTATAGTTATACAAGCGTCTTGTCGGGTTCGCCATTGTGACCGGTTAATTGACTTGCGCGTTCCATCACATTGTGAGCACTGGCAATTGTCGGGGTCACCAAAGTTCATTTAAAGTCTGAGCGCTGCGTAGTATAGGACTCCGGAATGGGGGAGATTATTGATTTTTTAAAAGATACTCTCGGGAGAGGGGGGGTGGGGGTGGGGGTGAAGGCAACACCAGGGGACAAAAACTGAACTTGGAAGCAAATTTTAGTATCCTAATTTTTTATTACTACTACTAGATCTAGATCTAAAAATCTAGAACTCTCTGCAAAACGCGTGTTGGTGCAGGCCTTGTGTGGACTCGGGATCTGTTCTACTCTTACCTTGTGAACTCCTCAAAGACAAAGGGCTAAGGCTACCTTTTCTTCATCTTTTGTTCTTTGCTTCTGTTTTTTTTTGGGGGGGGGGGTTGGAGTTATTTTGTTTCATTTGTGTGTGTGCGCGCAGGTATGAATAGGACAGGAACCGCACCAACTACTATAGGGTAAATGCCTCTGGTAGTTTTCATATGTCTTTTTTTTTTTTTTTTTGTTCTTTGTAATTTTCTACATTTGTTTGAAGTCGCAAACACATTCATGCATATTTGATGTGGGTCAAAATATTGATAAGGGTCCCAGATTAAGTATGCGACAAGTGGCAATATAGCCTACTACAGATTTTTTAGGTCAACTAGATCTACAGATTTTTGGACAAAAATTTGCGTCCCAACTACAGATTTTGGTCCAGGCAATGTTGGTAGGTATGAGATACATGTATATTGTACGCGTGTGTGCTCCCTTTTTCAAGCTGGTGAGCTAGTCATTTATTTTCAGGAAATATTGCTGGACACCCTGAACATTTTACTATTACTGGTTAGTCGGTCGGTCGTGGGGAATACACATTTTCCCCTGAAAATACACATTTTCATGTTTCCCAATACTCATTTCGGTTTTCTGTGGTTGGCGTCTCTGCTGGGGTGATACTCTTTTTCCTTCTTCCTTTTTATCTTTTTTGTTGTTGTTTTCTTTTCGTTTTTTAAATTTTATTATTTTTTTGTTTGAGGGGGTGGGGTGGGGAGAACATGTTTTATGCCCCCATCGACACATTTTAGATAATTTAGGAGGCATGCTTTGACCCTGTCTGGGCCAACTTGGGCGGAGAAAAATACACTGTCAAAGCAGAAAGATGGAGATACTGGGTAAAAATTTGTTCTCACTGGGGTATTGTTGTGGCCTCTGGCATTTAGATCTGGATGTTTTCAGGCAATTGCCTGATTTCCGGCAATCGCAAAATAGGGAATTTTTCCTTCTAAAGGCTACTAAAGTACTCAAATTGGGTGCGAAAGTCGGTGGCCGGCTTATTGCTGAGCCTGAATTCCTCCTGACTTACATTTTGTGAATGCTTGCAACCAAAGCCGACATTCCGGCAATGATTGCCTGAACTTCAGAAAAAATGCGAAAGTGAATTGTAACAACGACTTCTCGGCACAGGCCGTGTGCGGCGGTGTGCTTGGAATTTTCGTCTTGTTATCAATGGCAGTGTTTATAAACGAACCTTAGGCTTTGCACGATATCTGTGAATCAAGTGTGAACTAGATCTAAATTTGATCGTGAATTTTTAATTACATGTAGGTGCAGTTCCAGTTTCTTTTTAATTTTAGTAGAGGTTTTAAGGCGCTGGCAGTTTCCAGTTTCTGCAGTGTTGAAATATTCTAGATCTATGAAGATAGATTAATATATCATTAGAACGTCTAGAATCTAGATCTAGTGATTATTTCTAGATCTAGATCGATTTCATCATGACTGAACAGTTCGTTGAATTGAACGGCCACAAAGTGAAAGCAATCTCACTAGCCTTTCCCCCTAACAATAGGAAACAAAAGAGATGGTAGAGACAGTTGGGGATCAGGGGATTTTGCTGGCAGGATGAAGGGTACATTACAGTATGATGAGGACATTTTTTATTTAGCTAAATTTAAATGAATCCTCATCTTGGTTAACAAAATGTTAATGTTTATCGATATAAACTGGATATTGGTATAATTCAAGGAAAATGTGCCAGGAGATGGTGGTTTAGGTATTGATGGGGATGAAAATAAGGGTGAACAAAATGTTAATGTTAATTGTTATTAATATAAATTGATATAATTCAAGGAAAATGTTGCTTCTTCTTTCCTATCAAACATCTATCGTCCTTATCTCCCCTTCTTCTTTTTTATGTTTGTTACACTCTTGTAACACCTCTAATCTTCTGGCGCTCATATGAACTTATGCAGTTGCAAGCGCCGCAAAACCTCTACTAAATCTAAAAAAAAGAAAAATGTGCCAGGAGACAGGGTTTTGGGCATTACTTGTGTGGAAAATGCTTCAGCTTCAGGGGGACTTTCCAATTCTCCGCCCTTGACCCAATACATTCATAATTTTCAGGCAATTATGCTGTGCCTTACATCCTGGTCTAAGCATTGTACAGGAGGTGAACAGAATGAACATGTCCTGCCTCCTCTCTGTAACCTTTTTTACTCTTCTTCTCCCTTTTTCTCTCCATCCCCACATTTCACACCTTCTCTCTATCCTCTATAATTGAATGACAGTTATTGAAACCAATTTTTTTCTGTTTTTTTTACTTAAACCAACCAATCAAACAAACAAACAGCTGACGAACCAAACGAGGATTCCTCCAGCAAGGGTAACTCTGGCAGCTCCAGAGACAAGAGCGGTGTGTTCTTCGCTGATCTGCTGCGTAACCTTGACAACGACTTTGAGATGGAAGCTCTCATCAAGTATGTGTGTGTTTCGCGTGTGTCATGTGTATTTGTGTACATGCGTATGTGTATGCGTATCCAGTATATGTTTGTGTCTTGTATATGCATGTGCACGTGTGTGTGTGTGTGTGTGTGTGTGTGTGTGTGTGTGTTTGCATGCATGTATAAATCAAGACACATTAATATGAAGTAATTTTATTATGCTATATCTCTTACACTGTAATGCGCACTGATAATTTTTTAGAAAATGGAAATTGGATATCATAAATGCTATTCATCATCATTATTATTATTATAATTGTTATTATTTTGTGTGTGTGCGTGTTTCTGTGTGTGTGTGTGTGTGTGTGTGTGTACATCAAGAATATGTGTTTGTGTTTGTACATGTGTGTGTACTTGTGTATGTTTGTATGTATGTGTGTGTGTTTGTACATGTGTGTGTGTGCATTGAGAACTTGTGTCTTGTGTTTTGTGTGTGTGTTTTAAACTCAAACACCAATTTATTTTAACAAAATGTTCAACAACAACAACAACAACAACCCCCCCCCAATGTTTCTCTCTTCTCGCTGACAGCGCCAGCTCCGGTGGGGGCAATGGCAAGGATGGGCTGGGCAGCGGCAGCCTCAGCGAGTTTGCCAAACGGGCGCTCACCGAGATCTGCCGCCAGGACTGGGTGCGGGAGAAGTTCCTGCGCAACCCGGCCAAGCTGTTCACCAATGACCTGCTCAACGAGAACATTCTGTCGTATCGACAGGTGAGGGTGAAGTTCGGGAAGCGAGAGGTCTGTAGGCTGTCGCGATTTGGCGACTTTTTCACTTGGACGTTGTGACCCGATAACAACCAACAGTCCTAACAAAAGAAAATGAAACAAAACACCAAAAACGAACAGTCCTAACACCCGTGGCTAACAAAGGAACGAACGAAGACCCTCAGGGTTTTCCTCCGACTTTGCCGCCTCCGTGTATGAAAACAGTGCGAAGTGTCAGGGAAATTTCACCCATCACAAGTTGTGTTTCTGAAGTAGGATAAGAGTTTTTAGCTCGGTTTCCACACCCCGCACCACCAGTCTGTATGTTACATTATGTCAGTGATAAAGTAATTGTATGTGTAAAGAGGTAGGTAAGGATAACTGCTGTCTGCAGAGTTTTCAGTTAGGATAACTACTATACTGAAAACTTGAGGCAAAATTTATTGAATAGTTTTTCTGAAGTATACATGGTAGAACGTCTAGCAATAACAATAATAATAATAATAAAGATCTCTTCTATAGTGCTAACTTCCTAGTGGCTTTAGGCGCTTCTCATTATGATACAATTTTGATAGCTGGCACATTTCACATATACCAGCCCCATTCAATGTACGATAATCAAGTAATGGTAACTATTGTATAGAAAGTTTCTTCTAAGTTCTGTCTGGAACCTTACCTTTCTCGACGAAATCGAATGAGTGAGTAAACAAGAAGGCGTGCACATAGTCTGACTCAGGGGTACCTGAAACAATAAAAAGATAAGATGAAATGAGGTGACATTTTGTTGATCTCTACACAGAGAACTTTGCTGCAGCATGGTAAATACATAATCGAATTGGTGTGTCATTGTGGTGGAATCAGGCACTCGTCAAAATCTTGAAATCGAAGAAACAAACTAATTTTATCCCATTGGGCAATTTTTCTCAAATTAAAAAAATTAAATTTGGTATCAGCACCTTTTATGTCCGTTCATAAACGCATTTCAGTGTAGATTTTACTGAAAAACATTGATCATAAGCAGAAAAATGGTAACTTTGCTGATTCCAAGGACTCGCAAGCTATAAAAATCGCCTAACATTGGGGGCCATTTTCTTGCTAATTTAACCTCTGGCACCAGGGGAGCCCTACCTCTTTCAGTCACAAATATCTTGACTTCTATTGAAGATATGTGTGTTTGTTTTTGTGGGATTTTTGCATCAAAAGCAAGGCAATGAACAGGCTTTAAGATTATACCGCTAACTCCATATGCCTAAAAATTAACGAGCGCCTGACTCCAACGTGCCATGACACTCTTGCATAAACACCCGTCAAATTCACACTTTCACAGACACACACACACGCACGCACGCGCGCGTGCACACACACACATACACACACTTTTATACATACACACACATGTGCACACACTTACACGCATACACACCCTTACATACACATGCGCGCACACACACGTGATGGACCTACAAAATAATGTAGTTCTGTCGCACCTTGACTTGTCATGTCCAGACGGACTGCTCCAAGATTCCAAGAGGGTGATGGTCACATCAATGCTCTTGTGGGTGTGATATGGTCACATCAGTGCTCTTGTGAGTGTGATAGAGTAATGAATTATCTCCTCCTCCCCTGCCCTCATCCCCACATGTATTTTCTATCGTATAATTTGGAGTTTTATTTTAGAAGACAGTATGTCCAGGATAAAATTGAGCTATTGATTCCGCCTGATCGTTTTAAACACGTACATTTCAGCCTGATATCGATAACTTAGTAAATAAGATGGGGAACAAAGATATTTAAAGCACCTGGCTATGGAGAGGCAAAAATTGGGGGGGGGGGGGGGCGAAGCTCTCTTGAACATTTTATAAAATTGAATGTACTGCATTTTAAAATAAAACTCCAGTAATAACCCCTGTCCAAGACATGGTCCTGTCTAAGACAGCCGTTTTTCTCCCTGTCAGTGGGTGGCTGTCTTTGGCAATGTCGACTGTGTACCCTTTCCCTGATAGTATCGCAATTGTTTACTTGTTAACCCTTTGTCTCCGAATTGTTTCCGGCGCATAGACGGAATTGAATTATTGTCAGTCAAAATGGAGCACAGGGTCACTTATCATAGTGGGCTGTGATTTCTTGCCAAGTTAAGCTACAGCAGTGTTTTATGTCTCGCTAGAAAGGGAAATGAATGTAAAATGAGGTTAAGTAAACTGATAGCAGTCAAATATTCAATCTACTTTCACTTTTTAATGTGCATGTCACTTTTCATTGTAAAAAGATCATAATTTGCAAAGTTACAGTCTTTTGTGTGCAATCAGCTAAGCATGAAAATCACATAGCCACAGACTGAAACAATACCTAATTGAAGAATGACTCTTTTCATTCAAACTATCAACAAACCAATTGACCAGACCCCTTTACTCACCCCCATCTCCTCAGGATAAATTCTAACATCTATGTATAAAATACCAGTCATACAGTGAATGTACTGGGTCATTTTCAGTGTGTATTTGGTAGTAAACTATCGCGATATGGCACCGGCTACTCTGAGACAATGGGTTAACATTCGAATAATAATGTTGATGTTATGTGTCTATGTTCCTCAACCAAACGCCACACACAAATGCTTTTCTTTGAGTGTGGTACCTTGTACTCCGGCCAAACTATTGGTCATCTACACGTGAATGTCCTATATTACAGTGGAGTTTGCTTAAACTGAAATCTGAGGGACCACTGAATTTTCTTCGGTTTTAATAGCTGCGTTTTCACAGTTTAAAGAGGTTTCTCAAATAAAGAAATAAAATTGGGGATTTAATTTTCTTTCAGTTTATCGCTGTTTCCGGATTCACATTTTTTCGATTTAAGCGGACTCCACCCGTATGTTGCTCGATCAGTGAGCTCATGAAGTAACGAACATTGAAACTTTAATGTTTCATTCTTAGAGAGAGTATGTTTTCTTCTTTTGGCAGTGTCACAAAGTTTTAAAAAAGAGATGTCAAGATTCATTTGACTTTCTAGTAACACTAATTTTTGCCATTTATTTCATTAGACTTCCTTGGGTGCTTGTAGCAGCTGTTTGTTTATATTCTTGTATATTTATACCAAGTGCAAATCTTTTCTTTTTTTTTAATGGAAAAAAAAATAAAGGAAAAAGAATAAATAAAAGTTCAGTGGAAATTGTCTAAGATGGCCGTCCATTGTCAAGGAGAAAAGTGGACGTCTAAGACAGGTGGATGTCTTGTATTGTCGTTGTAATGTGAAAAATACGCATAGGAGAAAATGCGAAGGGACCATTTGTACAGATGATTGTCTCGTACCGGTGGCCGCTAGAGCAAGTTCAACTGTATCTTTCTATACTTGTGCTGTCTGTTATGGTTTCTTGTGTCTGTTGGGACACACTGTTACATAGCTGCCAACCAGTACGTTTAAATAAACATATTAAATCATTTTTTGAGGGTCTGTGTATCGAAGACTTTTTTGAGTAGGAAAATACGTAGTCAGTTTTCTAATACTGCTCCTCACATACTTGCAAATGCTGAAGAATAATTTGGAACTTTCAATACTGGCTTTTCGAATAAATGTGAGAAGGAAGCTGATAGGTCAGTCGGGGAGATCTTTTGCTGCAGGTGTACTTCGAATAATGTTGAATTTATAGACAATGCATAAAAGTGGGAAGAGTTTAAAAAGGGGTTACTTGACCAATGGCCACCATTTTGATCTGCGTTGTGGGCGGGCAGAGTCTGTCTTTCAGTTTTGAAAAGTTGGCAGCTGTGCTATTTAAACTCCAGGTAAAGTCAATTTGAGCCCCCTACCATTGTGGAAGTAAGTGAGAAGCGTCTTTGGCTCTAGACATCACGGAGACCCCCAAGTGGCCCCGCAGAGAGTGGAGACCAGGGATGTGCATTGTTGTAGGTCAAGTCAGCCATAAATAGGGGGCTCGAGTAGACTGCTAGGACGTGGATGGCTGGTGTCTCTATAAATAAATCATTGATGGTCAAGGACTGCTAGGAAAACTTCTCCTCTCTCAGTGTATTTAACAACCATGTTTTCATTGTCCTAACCTTAAATTACATGTAATGTGTCATAAAACCTTCTGGGTTTTTTTGTTGTCCCCATTAGTATTGGCATTAGTGTCATTTAGTTTGGTTATACTTCATAATGTCTGCTTAGTGGAAAACTCTGCCATTTTGAAAAGTGATGTATGACATAGTCGAAAACTGAGAAGTTGATAAGAGAAAATGTTTATGTCAAAGTCCTTACGTTTTAAAGAGTTTTATATGACCCAATACACTATACTTTTCAAGTTATTTCATGATTTTTATATGAACTTTTCTTTTTTTATGTAATCCTGTAAAATCTAGAAATATTTTAAAATGTAAATTTATGCCTTTGATTTTGTGACTCAAGACCTTAAGATTTTATTGCATTATGCTATATGACTTGTTATTGCTTCAATATGATTCTTTTGACTCTAACAAACAAACTGACAATTATTGATAGACTGAAGCTGTTTGGATGGTTAGTGGTTGCTCTGAGGTGGTTTACTCCTTCTTTCCCATCAAACATCTTATTGTCTTTGTCTCTCCTTCTTTTCTTTGTATACTACCCTCCTGTTCTAGAAAAACCTCTAATCTTCGGCACTTATTTGACCCATTTTTTGTCACAAGTAATACTATTTGTGGGTGGTTGAAGGGTGCCACTTGTAGGGCCTACTTCTTTGCTTTTCTTCTGTTGTTTCTGTCAATCTGTCTTACTCTTCCCCAGTGCTAAATGACCATTATTGTGTCGATGTGGTTCTGTTTACTTGAACAAAAAACAAAACAGAATAAAACTCTTACTAAAAACTAAAACTAAACAAAGCTGTTGGTGTTTGCTGTTCCAGGCGCAGCAGCTGTTGCAGATGATCTGCTACCCGACGGGCGTGCCGAACCAGATGGAGGGCTGCGAGCCGGAGAACAAGCATGTGGTGGAGCGGGTGCTGCAGGTGAGAGGTCACCCACCCTTGCTTGTTGTAGAGTGGAGAAAAGATAGCACTGCCGACCTGTGGGGGGGTTGGCTCTCGTTGCCTAGAGCTTAAGGTGTTGGCTTCTCATTCAAAGGTCCCAGGTTCGAATCCGGGTAGCGACTGAAACATTTTCTTCTCTTAAATTGTCTCCTTTCACCTCCTTTCCTGCTCTCTTGCAATGTTCTGTTGTCTGCTTTCATTTCCACTTTCTGCCCCCACCACCTCACCCCCTTTGCCCCCTCCTCTGGGCTCCTGACTCTTTCTGCAGCCTTTCTACTGCTACTTCTTGGCTCCTCCTTACTGCTGTCTTTCTCCCACACCCCTGATCTTCTGGTAGGAAAGATCCACACCTAGCCTTCTCGGACAAGGGCGAAAAATCTCGGAGGGCCCGTGTGCTAGTTGCACACGTTAAAGATCCCTTGGTGGTCTAAAATCGATAAGAGTAGGCTTCGGCCACCACCCGGGCAAAATTCAAAAATTTCCTACGAACTGAAAATATTAGGTGTGTCCCGCGCGCTCATATGACCTTATGCAGTTGCGAGCGCCGTAAAACACTTATCCCAAAAATACCAGATGGAGGGCTGTGAGCCGGAGAACAAGCATGTGGTGGAGCGGGTGCTGCAGGTGAGAGGTCACCCACCATTGCTTGTTGTAGAGTGGAGGACAGATAGCACTGCCGACCTGTGGGGGGGGGGGGGGGGGGGGTTGACTGTTAGTTAGTTTAGTTTGAGTAGAGGTTTTACAGCGCTCGCAACAGCATAAGGTCATATGAGCGCCGGAAGATTAGAGGTGTTACAAGAGAGTAACAAACATAAAAAAGAAGAAGGGGGAGATAAGGACGATAGATGTTTGATAGGAAAGAAGGAGCAAACCACACCAGAGCACCCGCCAACCACCCACGGTTGGCCGTTAAAAAAACAAAACAAAATAACGAATAGCAAAAACAGAAGCATCTCTCATCTGTGTGGGTGGTTGGTGGGTGGGTGCTCCGGTGTGGTTTGTTCCTTCTTTCTTATCAAGCACCTATCGGCGGGTGGTTGGCGGGTGGGTACTCTGGTGTGGTTTGCGTCCATCCTCCGTATCTCTTCTCTTTCTTTTTTTTTGTTTGTGACTCTCTTGTAACACCTCTAATCTTCGGCACTTATAGGACCTTATTGTGTTGCAAGTGCCGTAAAACTCTTACTAAAACTAAAGACCTGCCAAGCATTCCTCCCAATAAAACTGAAGAGTTACTTCTCGCAGTGAACAAACAGATGTTGACTGAAAATTGATGCAAGTGTCAAATTTGTACATTTTCAGCTTATGCCTTTTTCCTCATGCCTTTCATCATTTCATGATATGAAGCGTGCAAAGCCCACCTATAAATTTGCTATTTCTATCTGTGTCGATAAGGCTGAAGTTGGAGGATTAGCTTAATTTGTCAGCGCACCTTACATTTGTTTTTTCTGTTCTATCTTATCATTTGCATGTCTTTGGGTTTTGGGGGGTGGGGGGAGTTCAGATCTATCTCATTTGCTTGTGTGTTTTTTTCGTGTTTTTTTTTTTCCGGATCTATCTCATTTGCTTGTGTGTTTTTTTCGTATCTATATCATTTGCTTGTGTGTTTTTTTCGTGTTTTTTTTTTTTCCGGATCTATCTCATTTGCTTTTGGTTTTTTTTTAGGATCTATCTCATTTGTTTGTGTTTTTTTTTTTTTTTTTCTGATCCATCTCATCATTTCCTTGTCTTCTAGGGTTTTTAAAAAATCTATCTCATCGTTTCATTATCTGTTTTTTTCTGATCTTTTTCATCATTTTCGTGCCTTTTGTTGTTTTTTTTCGGATTTATCTCATGGTTTGCTTGTCTTTTGTTTTTTCTTATACGTCTCATGGTTTCCTTGTCTTTTGTTTTTTCTGATCTATTTCCTCATTTGTGTGTCTCTTCCCTGTCCCAGACCCTGGACCAGTGGACCCAGAGGGTATCCTGGCTGGAACTACAGCTGTTGTTTGAGCGCTCTCAGAATCAGACGGTGAGTTCTCCTCCCCTTCCCAAAACACACAGACACATGCGTGCATGCTTGCACGCTCACACACTCATACACACACAAACTCACACACACATTTCTAAACAGCCCCCCCTCCACAAACACACGCGCACGCACGCACGCGCACACACACACACACACACACACACACACACACACACCTAATGTGCTCACTCTTCTGCGTGCCTGGCATCGTGCTGAAATCTTTTCATGTTCCGCTAGTTTTTTTGTCGTATGTGGATGGAGGGCGCTCTGCTTACTTCTTGCTTTTGTTACTATTGGTCGAATCTGCTTGCGTTTTTCAGGAGGATTGTGAAAGGGTAAGGTTCAAGTCGTGTGGCTAAATGTAGACAGATTTGTTTTTGCAAAATTTGTAGTTCATTCTATTTGACCAAGAAGTGGTGTTGAAAATGTTTTAAATGATACTCTGAAACTTTGTCGTAAACTGCGTATTAAAATTGCACTTTGAGCAGAAACTGTGTTACCAAGAGTTCGGAGAAAAACACAGCTGGCTGATTGACATATATATATTCTCTCTCTCTCTCTCTCTCTCTTTCTCTCTCTCTCTCTCTCTATATATATATATATATATTCTGGGAAGGACTCAATCCAGATGTAAAGGAAACTTTCAAGCTATTTTTCTCCCAACTTTGTTTCTGTACCTTGTGTAACAATGTTCACACCAGACCTCACAAAGTACTGAAGTTGTCATAAAGATTTCTAAACCAAGTTGTACAGAAATAATTTTTGTACCAGAAAGTGGAATCTATTATCTATTTGTGGTGGCCGAATTTTGCTATTCAAAAGGCTTTTTAATGGCTGCATCGATCGACATGCGGTTTTCGCCAAAAGATTCTTTAAAATATTCTCCAGATCATGACGCCCTTGGTTTTTTCAGTTTTGAGACAGTTTTGCTGCAAAAAGCTAAATGTCTTTATTTCGCCGATCGCTTTTTTAGGCCGACGCTTCTGTCTCTGTAATTTTAGAAAAGGAGGTTTCCGTTCACTAACCGTGCGCTCTGTTTTGAGAGTATAGATCTAAACGTTCTAATTTTTGCATCTCTCAAGATTTATTGCTCCATTCCAGTAGAATGTAAATATCATAAACCAATGACTTTCGGCTGACGTCAATGCACCGATCATTCCTTTCATCGAAAGGGAGCCCAGCTAGTGAAATATAACTCATCAAAATGCGTCTAACAGTACTTTTCACCAGACACACTCACAAATGTAGACAAAATCTGTTGGCAAAATTTTGTTGTCAGACAAGATGTGAATTTTTTTGGGTTTTTTCTTTTTTTTTTGTCTTTTCAGAATCAAAATATTGTTTAAGTTGCAGTTGGTTTGAGACAAACAGATTTTTGTTGTTTGATGGAAGAGTTGGACTTAAGGTGTTTTGTTCAAGCATTTCTAGTTGTTTTTATGCTGACTGCTCAGTGTAAGACTTCATCTAGTGGGTGGTTGGAGGGCGCCACTGATAAGTCCTACTTCTTTACTTTCTCTCTGTTGTTACTGTTTGTCTGTCTGTCTTACTTTTTCCAAGCACTAAAGGACCATTGCTATATCGATGTGCTTTCTTTTACTCAAACAAAAGAACGAACAAGACACCCATCATACGTTATTTTTCAAAATTGCTGATGGTGGAGTCTTACATTAAGCAGTAGATGATTTTATAGATATGCTTTTCTCTTTTTTGGGGGGTCTTTTTTTCTGTTATTTTTATTTGTC